CAAGAAGAACAGGACCAGCTTGAGAAAATATTAGGAAATTTGGAAATTCGTGTGGAGGAGCGACGTCACAGGGAAAGACAAGAAGATCAGGACCGTCTAAAGAAAACTTTGGAAAATCAATTTCCTGACTACAGAAGAATTTTGAAGACCTGGAAAACGACAGGAGAACCATTTCCAAGAAGTTGTAGAAGATCTGGAGGAGTGCCTTCAGCAGAAGATAGAAGGATTGGAGATGGACCTACAGAAGACCAAGGTACAAGTAAGGACACCTGGCGTTCATGGAACTGCGAACCTCAAGGCCCCAACCTACGATGGACAAACCACCTGGACTATGTACCACCGCCAGTTTGAAGCAGCGGCTGCTGCCAATGGATGGATTGACCAAGAGAAAGCAGCAGCACTTGCCATCGCGCTGCGAGGCCCCGCCCTGGAACTGTTGCAAACTATTCCTGCAGCCCAACAGCAGGAATACCAAACTTTGGTCGCTGCACTGGACAGAAGATATGGCGACCAACATCGACGTCAACTTTACCAGGCACAGATCAAGACGCGCCTGCAGAGGTCCGGAGAGATTCTGCAGGAATTCGAAGCTTACGTCGGCTGGTACACTTGGCATATCCAGAAGCACCGGAAGGGTTTGGGGAGGAACTCGCTGCCCAGCGCTTTATCAGCGGACTGAGGGACAACGAGTTACAGAGGGCGCTGCAAATGTCCCGATTTTCTACCAGCAGCGAAGCACTGGTCAGGACGCTGGAAATCGAAGCTGCTTTTAGCGCCATCCCTAGACCGAGGATAAGATCGGTAACGGTAGAGGAACAGCCCGTGAGTACCCACAGAAGTTTGGAGGAGATGTGTAGAAAATTCGACAAACTGTGTGAGCTACTAATAAACAAAGGAGTCAACAACACCCAGACAGAGAATCAAAGAAGATTCCAGGATATGAGTTGCTATAGATGTGGCATGAATGGCCACATTAAACGGGTTTGCCGCGTTCAAATGCGATTCCATTCACCATCCAGAGAACATCGGCATATCGGAAGATCCCAGGACATAAGTTGCTATAGATGTGTCAGGAATGGCCACATCAAACGGGAATGCCGCGTCCAAATGCGATTCCGTTTACCATCGAAAGAACATAGGCACCAGGAATTCAACACTAATGAGCGAGTGTTGGCTGAAGAAAACAGAGCCCCAAGGATGTTTTCCGTTTAAGAAGTCTAGGAAGAACCCCTGACAGTTTGGTGATCGACAGGAAAGTCAATGGAAAGGGAATTCGAATGACTGTGGACACTGGCGCTATGGTATCGTTGGTACGGGCTACCTCAGTGCAAGGGTTGAAGATGATGCCTCTTAGAAGAAGAGTGTATTTACGTACAGTTACGGGGGAAATGGCCGTTGTACGGGGAGAGGTTTTCATGGAATTGGAGTTAGGGAATTTGAAGTTTCGGCATAGCGTTTTAGTGGCAGACATTGAAGATGATTTTATCATGGGTATGGATGTGATCAGTCAACATGGTTTTTCGTTTGATCACCATAGAATCATCCTGAAAATCGGAAATGAGGAATTTTCTGTATCTAAGAAGAGAAGAGACCAGAAATATGGAAGAAAAGCTAAATCGAAAATTGTGATGAGCCTGGTGATACCAGAAGACTGTGTTCGGAAGCCCAAACGTTGGGTGCCGTGTAGGACAGGTACAAATTATCGACAACGAACCGGATCGACGACGAGCTACCTTGGGCAAGAAAATGCAACTTGTCGCGGCACTATCGAAATAAAATTTTTAAAACTGAGGAACTGACGAACAATGGACGACGATACAAGTGAGGAAAGATCAAATGGAAGAACCAGACATCGGAGCAATACTACGGCCCAAGGAAGGTAACGGCGATAGACCACCGTGGCAGGATATTGCGGACAGAGTGCTCGTTTTCAAAGCTCTCTGGGCTCAGTGGAATTCACTGGTGATTGGGAATGGATTGTTAAAGCGCGCTTGGGAAAGTGCGGATGGCAGGACAACTCAGTTACTGGTACCAAGGAAGAAAGTTACCCAGGTATTGGAAGAAATTCATGGTGGTAAAACTGGAGCCCATCTTGGGGTAAACAAGATCTTGAGCAAGCTGAGAGACCGTTTTTACTGGGTGGATTATTGTGAAGATGTTAAGAAATGGTTTCAACGTTGTAAGATTTGCGCAGCTAGACAAGGACGATCTAGGGGAAAAATGGAACAAGATAACGTTGGACTGTCGTTCGAAGGAATCATTAGGAAGGAAAGATTATTGGGAATTCATAAGGCCGTGTGAAGTAAGATTACGCTAGCCAGTGACCGGATGAAAGCTCGTTACGACCTCAGAGCTAATTCTACGGGTTTTCAACAGGACGATAGGTTATGGTTGTATAACCCACAGCGCAAGAAAGGAAGGTCCCAAAGTTAACTCCAGCATGGGAAGGTCCTTATACAGTCATCAAGAGGATAAGTGATGTTGTGTACCGGATTCAACGCAGCCCTAGGGTAAGATGAAAGTAGTTCATCTGGATCGATTGAAGAGATACCAGACGGGAAACCTTGATCGGGACGATCAAATTTGAGAGGGGGGCAATGTCAAGGTGTATTACTGGTTGCATAACTGCATACTGCTAAAAAATCGCAATGTGCCTTGAGGAACCTGGCGCATTCGCCAGAAAGTAAAGAAAATTATAGAATTCTTTAGAAAAATCTAGAAACAACCGCCAGGGGGTATATAAGGCCCGCGCTTTGACAGTTGGACAAGTTTAAAGTTAAAAGTTTTGAAGTTTGAAGTTTGAAGTCTAAAGTCTGAAGTTTGAAAATACCGCGAAATACCGTTAGAGTAATAGTAGTTGCATAAGTTGTGTTGTAAATAGTATAAGTTGTGTACAGAGTGAAACAAATAAATTCGTTAAGTATTTTATCGTGAGTTTAAATAGTGGACCCACGGAATCCGTAACAATACGAAAAAAAAACGTTAACGTGCTGTTAATTGAAAAAAGTTCGATTATTATAGAGGATTATAAAGTAAAACCTAAAATCGTCTGTCGAGAAATCAACAGAACATATAGATTCACAAATGACACTATCTTATTTTCATCCAACTTACATACGTATGTAAATTACTTAAAACAAAATAGAGATATAATTATATTTTCCATAGAACTTAATGTAAATCTCTAATACCGAACTACTGTGTTAAAAAACATTTGTCCTTGTAACTATAAAAAATTAAAATCAAGAAGGAACTAAGTTACAATCTTCTTGTACTAGAAAAAGTCAAATTTTACCTGCAAAGAAACTATATACAGTGTAACAGAACTACACAAAGTGAAATTTGTGAAAAGTAAAGCCTGGTTATTCTCTAAACATTGGGTAAAATATCCTGGAAATTTAAAACATTATGTAACTTTATTCATTTTAGCACTCATTTTTTGGTTTCGATTGATAATCTGAGTTTTTTTAAGTTAATTTGTCTTGAGTAATTGCTCTGGTTAATTTCTGTAACTTACCTCAATTTCTTTGAAAGGTGTTATATTTTTTTTATTTAGTAACTTATATATTCGTGGTTTGGGGGCAAATTAATTTTTTGCAAAATAATATTTAGTACTATCACAGATTATACAGATTATAATCTTTGTTTTTTATTTGTTGTTTTTCGTAGTTCCAATTTTCGGAATCGGGCACTAGTTAGGTGACTAGTTTGCGCACATAGCACGCCCACTTATGGCCTCTAAAATTGTGCACAGCGCCTGACCGGCACAATTATTAGAGAGTTATCGGAAAACCGAATAGCGTCATCCAGTATTTACGCGTATCTTATCATGGTTACGATATGCGCGAGTCAATTTTTAACGCAACACCCGCTAATAACGTTACCGCCTGACGTAATTTGCGGATCAATTACACCAAGCGCTCTTTCTAAATAACCAAATAACCTCTAATAACGTTTAAAAATTGTTTAAATGGGCATGTGTGGGTATTTGACAACCGGAGCCGGCCGGCGCCGCCGCCGGCGAGATCTTTTATTTTAGGTTATGTTTGAATTGTTTTGAATTATTGCTTTAGTTTTATTAGGTAATTTGATATTTAAGTAGCTGGGATTAGTTTTAATTAAATAATATGGCTTAAAATATGGATTCCACCTCTTCCAATACTAAAGAACCTATAAAGAGTCTTAGGTTTACAGCAGAAGACGACTTAGCCCTTCTAAGAGAATTTGTTGCTTGTTGCCCTAAACCCACTGGCAGACGTTGAACAATAAAGCACTGGAAATAAGCACTTTAGCCCTTTAGTTTTAAAATACCTAGTAAACAAAACAATTTCAAAGTTTTAAATTCAAAGTTAGGTTATGTTTAAATAGCGGACGCGACGCGATCAGAATTCTTTTCGATCCGATAACTATAAATGAATAGAGTTAATACCACCTCACGTAAAGGAAATAACACCAGGCCTTATTAACGTCCATGCACGCTATTCGGTTTAGCGATATCTCTCTATTACGCTGTTTATTGTTACTTTACGCGAGTTTATTTTTGCGCACAGGAAATTTGACTCGTTTGCACATCGTCATAAAAAACAATTTTCGTACCACGAATTAGGGACAAGATTTTTATCTGTATACTTATAGGATACCTAATCTGTGGTACTATATTCTCTGGTAGCACTTGGGAATTTTGCGATCTTGAATGCTGATTACGAGCAACGAATCAACAAATTTCGCTATATCGTCTGCTGTTTAAAAGAGGAGTTAAGGCAGTTAAAATATGGAATCACGGATGCTATTTACTAGACGGATTTGCGATATCGTATGCTGTTTACGCGGCATTGTTCGGCCTAGAACCGAATCGCGATCATGAACGTTGTTTATAAATATACCGCCGGGGACGGACAAGTTTTCATCTGGTAACCCTATCCATAAGCATCTAACGTACACCATCGCCGTGAATCGCCCTATATATCAGTTCAATATGTCATGAAATCTTATTTTTCTAGGATCATCGGATCACAAACCCGTTGAAGCTCTACCCGTCAAAGGCAATACATTCGAATCACAAGTAGAAAGTTTAGTGGAGAACGTGCTGAGAGCAAAATTCGAATTGATATCATGGAGTAGAGTACCTTATCTCTGCGAGGGAGATTTACGCCAGTCGTACTACTGGTTGGATGATGTTATTTTAGTGTTAAAAGCGACAAAATAAGCTTTAAATAATCGAAGGATTAAATCGAATTATATTTTTATTACATAAACGTCATAATTAACAATTTTAGCATATTTTAGGATATACCGGGTGCGTCTCAAAAGTGGCTCACCCCTATAACTTTTTTATTTTTTCAGATACAAAAAGGAGATTTGGTATGTTAGTATATGACATAAATTAGGATTGATTGGCATATTCAATTGTTTTTGGTTACTTTCTGTTTCACCGGAAATTACTACAACTTTTGATTTTTAAATGGCACTTTCGGTATTTTTTTACTTCATTCGATAGAAAATGACATTCTGAATAGAATGATATATCATATGTCAACTTTTGACATTCTCGCTTAATATAAAATTGTATTTAAAAATTCAATCTAGAGTGTCATGGCAATGTTAAAAACAAGTCATTCATCAGTTCTTAATCAAGGAGCCTTGGAAAATAGATTTGTTCGCCTAATGTTTTTAGTGTCTTGTCTCGACCAGTTAGAAAATGCACAAATCGTATTTTTAATAATATCTCAATTTTTTCAAATGGAACGAGGGTGGCTCGTTAGCGTATTTCGAAAAAGCATTTTTTTACGAATAATTTGATACCACACAGTTCGTATTTCGAGTCAAATTTTCATTACGAACAGCAAGTTATAACTTCAAATAAATCATATGCGAAATGTCAAAAATTGATGTATGAAACGTCATTCTATTCAGAGTGTTATTTTCTATTGAATAAAGTAAACAAATACCGAGGGTGCCATTTAAAAATCAAAAGTTGTAGTCATTTCCGGTGAAACAGGAAGTGACCAAAAACAATTGAAGATGTCAATCAGTCCTAATTTATGTCATATACTAACATACCAAATCTGGTTTTTTAACTGAAAAAATAAAAAAGTTATAGGGTTGAGCCACTTTTCAGACGCACCCGGTATAAGGAATTTAAGATTGTAAGAAAATAATTTCCAATTTGAGGACGATAATTATGATTAATATTATGCGCCTATTATTATGATTATGATCGAATTGTGCAGGGTGTCTCAAATCCAAGAGTGGCTATTGCCATATCAGAATTATAAGAGAGAATTCGTGTTTTTTTATACAAAAATAAACAACGACAGGACGATCAGAAAGTTAAACGAAAGATTTACCTTAACCGAACCTGTGTCCTGTATATTTTAATTGTTTTTGAAAGATATTTTTATTTCGATTTCAAATACCTATATATACAGTTTGTGTATATTTACATGAACCATTTTTCAATTATTTTGGTGTAATTAATGCAACAACCACACAATATACCGGGTGGGTCTCAAAAGTGGCTCACCGCTGTAACTTTTTTATTTTTTCAGATAAAAAACGAGATTTGGTATGTTAGTATATGACATAAATTAGGATTGATTGACGTATTCAATTGATCACTTCCTGTTTCACCGGAAATGACTACAACTTTTGATTTTTAAAAGGCACCCTCGGTATATTTTTACTTTATTCGATAGAAAATGACATTCTGGATAGAATGACATATCATATGTCAACTTTTGACACTTTCGCCTAATAAAAAGTTGTATTTTAAATTCCAATATAGAGTGCTAGTGAAAAACACTAACTTTTAATCAAGGAGCCTTGGAAAAATATATTTGATAATCTAATGTTTTAGAGTCTTATCCTGATTGGTTAAAAGATGGTATTTTTAACCATATCTCAATTTTTTCAAATGGAACGAGGGTGGCTCATTAGCATATTTGGAAAAAGTATTTTTTACGAATAATTTGATACCGCACACTTGGTATTTGAGTCAAATTTTCGTTATGAACGGCCATATTATAATTTCAAATAAACCATAGGCGCACATGTCAAAAGTTAACATATGATATATCATTCTACTCAGATGTTATTTTTTGTCGAATAAAGTAAAAAATACAGAGGGGTGCTAATTTAAAAATCAAAAGTTGTAGTCATTTCCGGTGAAATAGAAAGTGACCGAAAACAATTGAATGCGTCAATCAATCCTAATTTATGTCATATACTAACCTACTAAATCTCGTTTTTTTTAACTGATAAAGTAAAAAAGGTATAGGGGTGAGCCACTTTTAAGAGGCACCCGGTATAGATAAAGTGTTTGATATTGGGACATCCTGTATATAAAATCAGAAATAGGATAAAAACGATTTTCCAAAACAAACGTAAAATATACAGGGTGTTCCATTAAAAAATATAAAGTTATAAATGTTCTGCAGGCAGTAATTATTCTCACCTTCCTGATCGTCTTTTGTTTATTTTATTCCACTTTCTGGTGGTTCAGGAAAAACCTTAATACTGCCTGTAGGTATTACACTAATGGTGGGTTCATACAGCCAAATAAAATAAAATAAGAATAAAATAAAATAAAATAAGAAAGTTGGTTATATGGGATACCGTACATGCGTTCATACAGCCAAATAAAATAACAAATAAAATAAGAAGTTTTTATCTTTTAACTTCTTGTTTTATTTTATGTGAAAACGGCTTTGCGCACGCTTAATTCTAACCTACAAATATTTTCAGTTTGGATTTCATTTATTTTATAATTTCACATAAGTAAAATGTATAATATAGTAGGCAACGAATAAATAAATATACTATAAATAGTAAAATTACTATAAACAATCGTAAAAGTTAACTTTTATCCAGCCTCATCGTACTGCGCATGAGCAAATATATATTTCTTATTTTATTTTATTTGACTGTATGAACGCACACAAATAAGAATTCCTTATTTCTTATTTTATTTTATTCTTATTTTATTTTATTTGGCTGTATGAACCCACCATAAATATCTCCGAAAATCGTGGCGTGCATATAATGTAGGCAAAAAGATGTTGTCTACCCAAGACAAAATCCTTTTTTTATACATTATAACTTATTAATAATGCAAAACATATTAGCAATAAACAATTTTTATCATATTTTTTATGATTTGAGCTAAAAATTCTGCCTCCCAAAGATATTTTTTTCTCAGTTATTAGGTTTATTTTAACCCATAAATTCGATAGGTTAGTTTTTTGGCTCACTCTAAGGTACACAAATGAAGTAATAACTTACTTAGATCACTTCATCTTTCCGAAGGTGGCAACTTCGTACAGCATGTACCATATCGTCGGTGAAATGTGATAAACTGCTAACTCCATTATTCCTAATTTTACAGGAGAGCAAAAAAACGGTACAAAAAAATATGTACACATGTAGGAAGTATTTTCATGCGTTAATATGATAAATAGATAAGAATTTTATTTGCTGAGGAACAATAAAACTCAATATTTCGTGTTACATCATTTTTTTCAGACACAATGGGGAGATTCGTCTTGCAGAAATAAGAAATGTGCAGAATAATAATGCAGAAATAAGAAATAAAAATATACTTCTGGAGATAGCAACCTTTATTGTTTGAAATTTTGACAATGGAGTTGAATATTACCCAAACAGATTTAGAAATAATCAATTCAATTTAAAAAATATGATATTCATGACCATATATATTTATAATATCGTCGGTCTAGAAGCAAAACATACACGGGCCCCAGCCTTAGCGGGCCCCCTTTATAGTTCATTATTTATTCTTAACAATATTTGCTTTTGCATTGCATTATGGCGTTTGCATTGCATTGGTTTACCTTGCATTAGGGTAGTTTCCTGATTTCCATACAGGGTGAGTTTTAAATAAGTTCAAATATTTTCAGGGCTGGTAGATATCGATAAAAGAAACATAATAGTTTCTCTTTACCGTTTTTTCAAATAAATCCAAAACAACCGAGTTATTTCACTTTTAAAATTTCCATTTTTTTGCTATAATTTTGAGAATCATTGGATTTTCTTTCTTGTAAATTTAATCTACTACGTATGTTGACATAATACAAAGTATGTTTTTAAACTAAAAATTAAAAAAATTAATTTCCAAAATTTAAAAAAAAAAAGTGTTCCTTGGGTCGAAATATACTACCCCTAAAAATACTTGCACTTATTTAAGACTCACCCTGTATATAATAGGGAAAAATTGACCAAAACGTAAGGCGAAAAAATACGCACGGGCCCCTCCGTACATTGCGAGGGGTCAACCACCATGTTAAAAAATGTACAATGATTTCCATATTTGGCAATCACTCATCAGTTATTCCCATGTATTCCCAAGTATTGCCACTGATTTCCACTAATTGCCAAGTATTTTTATCCGATTCCCAAGTGATTCCCAGTTTTTTAACGATTCCCATGTGATTCCCGATTGATTACCTGATTTCCTCGCTGATTTCCTAAGCAATCACTTGATTCCCAGCCAATTTAATTACGAAAACAATGTTTAAGTGTTTATTTTCGTTTTATTGTGATCGGAAAATATGTGCTAGCCGCATCTAGCAAAAAAAAATGAATATTTTAAAACATCAGAAATTTTAAAAAATATTTCTTCATTACGCCATAAGCAATAATAAGCATGGTTTCTTAGAGATTTCATTATATTTCATTATAAATTTCAAGTTATAATAATTAAAATACACATACAGTACGTTTGTCCGTTCTGTAGCTACGGGGTATCCGTGAGAGGGAAAACGATATTCTCTCCATGTTTTTCTTAATGGATACTATACGTCTAATTTTTCGTAAAAAATTAGACGACGCAATAAAAATTCGACAAATTTGCAAGTAGCCAATAAAATGAGTGGGCGGAGCGATTTGCGGTGATGTATCGTCAAGTCGACGTATAAAATATATTGTTGTTTATTTAAATGTTTTTTGTCCGCATTCCTTTCATAGACACAGATCCAGCAGACGTACTGTACCTACCTACATTTAATGCTAAAAAATGAAACAAAATATGATCAACTGAAACTAAGAAAATCATTATGAATGATATGCGAGATACATTAACTAAGTAAAACTAAAACATACATAATAGAGGTATATTTGGCTTGTAAGTTAAACAGAATAAAAAAAACATTGTACTAAAAATATTGAGGCAGGTACCTACTGCAATAGGAACATGGCATTAAAAATACATTGGCTAAAAAAACTAAAATATTATTACCTATTTAAAAAAAGAA